TTCAAAGAAAAACAAATCCCAAAATATACAATCAGATGGCATGGATGTGCAAGCTTTCAGATGTTCTGAGGGTATGGATTTTTCAATCTGTGCCATCTTCAATATACATAAAAGGAGATTACCCACATAACAAAATATCTCTGGCCCAGCTCTGGCCCACATGATCAGCTTTTGCTTGGCTCACATGCTGCAGTGAATTACGGTACATGACTGGACCAAGTCTGGCTTCCAGACAAAGGGCCAAATATGGACCATATCTGGCCAAGTTAATAACCCAAAACTGTGCCTAAACTGAGCCAGATATGTTGGTGTGTCAAAACTGCAAAGATAGTGCCACCTCTGCCAAACCCAGGCCATGTTTGGCCATCATTCTGTATGCCAGTGAGGGATGAAAGCCTGCTGTGCCAGATTTATGCCAAATCTGGGCCAGAATTCTTTGCTACCTGTGTATTTAGCATTGGGCAGTTCATTATTAATAAACTTTACTGACAATCTTCTTTCAAATAGTTAGAAACCATAATCTATGTGCTGTGTTTATAATGTTCACCCGACATAAGTTAATTCTAATCTGACAACAACAAAAATAGCAGAGAACAAACACATTTAGAAAAACTAAAGGTTTATAATGCAAAATCAATGAATTTTTAGCACACCCTTGAATTCGATAAATGACAAAATATATGATACAAAAACAATGACGACCTACAACAATGAACGATGTACAAAAATAGGAACTAAAAAAATGACATGAAATCCCTTGTGTTAGAGATTCTCTTGCACCTTTAGATGTTTAGACACATTTAGACAGTTAGAAAATAGCAATATCAATGCATATTAAACAGATATGCCCCAGATGTCAAACACATTTGCAACGGTTTATGAGATGATCCGTACTGAAATGTTTACATGCATTAAGCTTGACACAAATGCATTGAAAAACCGACAAAATAACAAGAGAAAAAAGAAAGAAAATTGTTAATGTCAAGCTGCTGCTGGTTGAAAGTTATAGTGTCAACTTAACATCAGACAATTTCAGCATTTATTACACAATGTAGCCTATAACATGTGTGGGGAAAAAATCGGTATTGTATATACATAAGTATATACGTTTAGAAGAATAACAAAGGAGAGTCATCTTTTAAAACTCAAAACGTTTTAACAAAGACCAAGACATCTTTTCAAACTCAAACAATTCCTAACCTTGGAAAGCTTGAAGGATTAGTTCACAGGATGCAATTTTGCAGCCAAAGTTTGTAAATCAGTCAGATAAGAGAGCTGGACGACGTCACTGAAGTTTAGCGTGTTGGGGTTAGAGATACACCAAACAGATGGAGCGCATCGCTGCAAACCTAATCAAAGCTAGTATTGACCAACTCCACAGTGTTCTTGAAGATAAAATGGATTTGAAGCAGGACCACCAGGCGCAACACACACACACACACACAAAAAAACATTTTCATTCACGATGATAATGTTGACTGTTTGCCTACTGGAGCCAATCTTACATATTACAGAACGTTCTTGTATTATTTGGGTTTGCTAGCAATAGTGAACATGCTGGGTTGATTGAAAAATGCTGTAGATTTCAGTCTTCTTCATAAACACCTTGTAAATTTAGACACCCTTAAAACGATAGTTCATCCAGAAATTAAAATTCTGTCATCATTTATTCATCCTCCACTGTTTCAAACTGGTTTGAGTTTATTTTTTCTATTTCTGGTTTGAGTTTTATCATCTGCTGAACACAAAGAAAGATACTGAAGAAGCACTATCCTGCCTGCCTGAATTACTGGAATGTTGGAAAATTTGAAATATAACAGCTTTTTTTTTCATCGTAAGCTTTTTTTGACAATCTACTTTGTAAAAATCCCTTTAGAAATAAAGATGAATTGAAAATATTAAAAACAGCCACTGGCTTCTATATATTTTTTTCTTTCTATTATGATTGTCGGTGGTTCTTTTTTTTTCCAAATTTTTCGAAATATCTTGTTTTGTGTTCAACAAAAGAAAGATATTCTTGAGTGAGAGTTAATAATGAGAAAACATTAACTTTTTGGCCAACCATAAAACTATTGATAACCAACTCAATGTCGCTGCAAAACTTTTTGATTTAAAGGCCAATTTGTATGAATTCGTACAATCTAATTCGTGCAATTTAATATGATTTGCTCATCACCCAATGACGGTTGGGTTTAGGGGTGGGGTTCAGTTAATAGTACTATAGTAACCTGTTATGTAGTAGAATGTACTCTGAATTACATTTTTTTAATTTGTAATTTGAGAGAAATGTTACAGTTTGAGACTTTTATATGATAAAAACAAATATTAATATTATTCTAAAACCCATACCCAATTAATCCAGAGAAAATTAATATTTTCAAGAGGTCTCTTAAAGGCATAGTTCACTCAAAAATAAAGAAGAACAGAGAGAAAAAAACGTAAATGGTGTCAATTTTTATAGTCAACTTCCATATTATTTTTGGTTTTCTATTATGAATGTCAATGGTTGTTTGCATTTCCTCTAAATTTGTCTAAATATCTTGTTTTGTATTCATCAAATGAAAAAATTTCTTGAGTGCGAGCAAATAGGAAATGTTTTCGGCCAACCATGAGAGACTCTTGATTAAGAGTTTATTGACTAAAACAAATGCAGGTTGGGACTATATTTCTGCCCATATGGTATATTTGTATAGGTGAATTTTGCCATATTGTATCCCGACAGTGCTCCCTAAATGACCAAATGAAATAACTGGTTTAACAGTTACTATGATTTAGCAATGGCTGCGAAACTAATCTAAATTACAATATTTTTATTTGGAATTTGGGAGAAATATTACAGTATGAAACCTTTATATGATAAAAACAAATATTAATATTATTCTCTAACTCATACCCAATCAATCTAGAGAAAATTAGTATTTTCAAGTGGTCTCTTAAACGGATAGTTTAGACAAAAATGAAAATTCTGCTATCATTTTCTCACCTTTTGCTTATTCCAAATAATTTTTTTTCTGTTTAGCACAAAATATCAATATATATAAATAATCGAAAACTGTAATTATTGACCTCCGTACTAGGACAAACACTTACTAGGGACATCATTGAAACCCAAACTAGTTTGGAACGAGTAAAAGGTGAGTAAATGTTGACAGAATATTTGGGAGAACTATGCCCTTTTTTGTCATAGTCATAAAAAGAATATGCAAAAAAAAAGAAAGAAGAATAGAGAGAAAAAAAATAAATGGTGTCAATTTTTGGCTTCATGTTCACTTTGAAAAGTGAATGAAGTTGGAAGCGTCTCAATCATCAACCTCCTTCAAAACAAAATAAACACAGGTGACTCTTTTAGCACAGTACAGTGACAGAGTTCCTACACTCATCCAGAGTTGCTTTCTTTCCCCTCCATTTCATCTAAGGATGAATGTCAGAAGTAGCCGTCACTTCTGGTCCCAACTGTTTCTTAATCTGAATCAATTTCTGGAAACCACAGTAAACAAAGTTTGTGTCAGCGAGTGTGTTGAAGGGCAGAGAAGTGTTATTATTTTTCTCTCCATCTCGAGTGCTCTATTATGTCCCTCTCGGTCACACATAAACGATGTTCGGGCTCTTAAAGGATGACGAGTGGTCTCGGTGACGGACTGGATTGGAGACCATCCGGTGACCCCACTCTCAGCCATCATCTACCGCTCAGTGATTTAAACCCATGAAAACCATCTGCTGGTAAACACACTTTCACTTCCGAACGTCACCGTCAAGATGCATTTCCTCTGAACTGAGTCCCTTTAGGCCGTGTGATACCGAAGCATTATCACTTCATTCAGCAGGAATGTAAGCGCTCCATCCCTGATGCTTGAAACTAAAAGACAGATGGAGAGACAGAAAAGAGCAGAGAAAGACAGAAAAAATAGCACAGGGCATAAAAGCTGAGGCGTGCGGAAACAGAAACACTGCAGATGCGCTTTCTTGAGATGAATTATTGCTGGTGGATTAAAGTCTACTAACTAGCTCTACAACTGGGATTGTATTGTACTGTAAACTTATTTTATATTGCGCAATGAAGCAGTAATGACAATGTTCTAATCCAGGCTCATTGGAATTTTTTTTTTGTAAAAATGAAAATATGTTGCTTTGGGCACATTTAACCCAGGCCGATTGTTGATACGTACCTCTGTCTACATTTCTATGGACAAGAATTATTGCAGTTAATTCTTCCTAAAATTTCCTAAAATATGCATCAGAGACATATTATTCATGTACACGTCCACGAAAACAGTCCAAATACATGTGAAGTGCATGTGTGTGAATGAGAGTGTATGGGTGTTTTCCAGTAATGGGTTGCACCTGCTGCGTAAAACAGTTGGCGGTTTATTTTGCTGTGGCGACCCTTGATAAATAAAGGAACTAAGCCAAAGGAAAATGAATGAATGAATGAATTAATTAATTAATCATTTTTAAAAATGCACATTTTAGATCTCAGAAATGTGTCATTAGCTATGTTTCCATCGAAATATGTGAATTAAATTTATGCAATAAAATGGAAAATCGAGTAAAACACGTGCAAATAAAGCAGTGTTTCCATCCAGTGAGTCAGAGAGAACAAAATCGTTACTTTCTAATTTAACTTGCACCAAATAGTAAAATGTCCATGAGAATATGGGACTTGACGTGCAATGACCTAAACCCAACCAATAGTGTTTGACGAGTAACGAGAAAAGTGCTTCTTCAAAAGCGTTTCTTTTAACGATTAAACTGCACCACGTCTGCATACATATGCGGCGAGCTACTGGGCAATCTAGTAACACCAGAAAAGCCATCCATACAAAGGTGAGCAGTCAGCTAGTAGCACAAAAAGAAGCCGTCGGCGGCATCATATCGCCCCCTAGTGTTTGTTTTACCTCTATCTACATAATTTGCGCTTTTCAGAAATGCAGACAGGGGTACGTATCCACAATGAGTCTGTGTTGGGTACATATCAGATAACATGTTTACGCGCTGTCTACTTTTTTTTTTTGCAAATTTGAATACATTAACATTTTTTAAAAAAATGCGTCAGATACATGTTCTTCTGGTACACAATCATAAAAATAGTCCAGATTTATGTGATATTGGTGCATTGAATAAGCTAAATTGGTCATAGTGTATGTGTGTGAATGCAAGAGTCCATGGGTGTTTTCCAGTAATGGGTTGCAGAAGGGCATCTGCTGCGTAAAACAAATGCTGGATGAGTTGTCAGTTAATTTAATTAATCTATGGCGACCCTAGGTAAATAAAGGGAATAAGCTGAAGGAAAATGAATGAATGAATGAATGAATGGGTAAAATAATTGTATCATTTTTAAAAACTGTGCACATTTTAAATCTCCTAAATGTGTCATTAGCTTTGTTTCCATCCAAAGACGTAAATTAAATTTATACGCAAAACTGGAATATTGCATAAAACACGTGCTAATAAAGCCCCGTTTCTATCCAATGAGTCAAAGAGAACAAAATTGCCACTTCGTAATTTAACTGGCGGCAAATATGGGACTTCTTGTGCAATGACCTAAACCCAACCAATAGTGTTTAACGAGAAACGAGAAAAGTGCTTCTTCAATAGGATTTCTTTTAATGAGAACTTGAACTTTTGTGTGGAACTGTGCTTCAATGAACTTGAATCAAAGTACAATGCATTACAAGGTGAGCTACCAAGCGAACTGACCAAACCAGAAAAAAAAAAAAAAATTAAATCCATATGGAGATTGATGGATGAGGTAAATGTATTCGATTATACATTATAAACGTTACGTTGTTTTGTGATTTTTATTTGGTGTTGTGCAAAGAACTGTGTGAAAATAATGTTTTATTTGTCAATAATGTAATTATAACTAGCGTAAAAATTTGTTGGTGCCATACTGCCCTATAAAGTTACTAACAAAATGCAGTCAAACATATGCTGAAGTACATTTGTACAGCTTCCCAAAAATGTCGGCTGAAGCACATATTCAAATGAGCCTGTGTTAAAACGTTCACAGTTCTCTCTCGAGGACTTCCTACATTAAATAAAATAGCATTCATTCAAAAATAAAATCTCTATAGATTTCTATGGCTTCATGTCACTCTGCAGCCTGCGATTATCTTCCGCGGGGCACAAAAGGAGAACAGATCAACAATTTAAGTCATTATCTCTGCTGTGTGTAATACGCGCCCACAGAACTCGTCAGAAAGGTCAGAACATTTCTGCACAAATAAAACGCCCATCAATCATTAAGTTCTATAATTTGCCGTGTTTAAATCCCTCTTGCCCTCCTTGGCATCACATATATAAATGTTAAAAGTCTGCGTCGCATTCAGTAATGAGACTCTCAAGGACCAAAGATCATTCCAGTCAACTCTTCAAGAAAAAAAGAAAGTTCTTTACTGGCAACCAGATCTCTTTCTGATTCTGATTGGTCAATCACAGCATTTCAATGTATGTTTTTTTTTTCCTGCAAGTTTTACGCCTAATTAAAAACTTGAATTATTAAATTATTATAAATTATTACAAACCAATGTTTTGTGTCTGAAAATAATCATGTAATAAGCAGAGTACTAGTATCTAGTAATCTAGTTAGTTGTTTTTGCAGAATAAAGCACCTTCAGTCTTTATCTGTCAGGATTTATTCTGCAGGAACAATTGGATGTAGATTTAGAGTATCCCTTATGTAATGATCCTTGGTGTTTGTTCTAAAAGCTGCTCATGAAAAGGCTATTTTGAGAAGCCAATATGGTTTTTCTATGGTATCACTTCTCCCAACATGACAATTACTGTAAGAGTGTAGTGTAGGATAGTCTTGTTTCTTTCTAGAATTTTAAAGCATCTGGTCTCCTTTTGTTATGAGCTGCAAAATATGCTTTGGTATTCATTTGAGTAAAGAAAGTTAGGTTTAGAAATCATGAAGAGAAGTATGAGCCTGAATTTTCATTGTTCGTTAAATTCTTTAAGGGTATGTCAACATGATAAAGACTTACTAAGAAAGGAAATGTTGCCCTCTGCGTTTTTAAAAAGTTTTGCATTCAGATGTTGCAAGTTTTGGATTAAGATGCTGTTAAAAGGTCACACTTTAAATAATGTTTCATTAGTTAATTACTTTTTTGGTAACCTATTACCATTGATGTCTTTATAAAAAAAAAACTGCCCTTCATTGTCTATACCAGTGTTTTTTAAATATGTTTCTCAACCACGTTCTTGGAGGACCAACAACACTGCATGTTTTGGATGTCTCCTTTGTCTGTCACACCCATTACAATTCTTTCAGTCTCTGCTAATGAGCCGATGATCTGAATCAGGTGTGTTTGGTTAAGGAGACACTAGCTGCAACCCCCACTATACACTCTGCTCTTATTCACTACGTACTTGTGCACTTACACACTCAACAGCACATATAGCACATAATACATATAGTGTTTAACAAAATGGAAATTCAAACTGTTTCCCCGATGATGTTTGTCGATTGCCAAATTAGTGAAATAAGGCCCCGTTTACACTGTCAGGCTTTGATGCCCAATTCTGATTTGATTTCCTATATCTGTTTTTTTTTTTTTTGCCTGTCCGTTTACACGTTTTAATTGTGACCCATATCCAATTCATGTGTTTACACTTGCCATACCATTTACGATGTTGCGCATGCTTAAAAGCGGGTTCTAGCATCTGTGCCACGCTAGCCACGATGGAAGAAATTGTCTTGTTATTCACTCTGCGAAATATGCGAAGTGTAGTTTAAGCAGTGAATGGTTCAGTCCAGATTTACCCCCACGTAGTTTATGCAATGGTATAGCCATGATGTCTGTGTGTAGTTGAAGATGTAGCCTTTGCCTTTGTGCGCACTGGTGTTAGAGAGAATAAAGTTGTTCTGCATGTAGCCCGCAGTGCATGTATTAATATCGATAAAAAGCAAAAGTTACAACACGAAGTTCACCCAACTTTAAAATGAGCGGAGGTTAGAAAGGGCCGTCATCACTGCTAGCACCGACTATATGGTGTCCTCCACCATTCAGAGGAATTTGTGGGTACGAGAGAGGTCTCAGGTCTGGTGGAAGCAAATTGTGGCGAATAAATTCTTACCTCATCCGTGTTTCCTCTGTTGTTGTTTACCACGTTGGCGTCTCCACACATGCTCTTTCTTCTGTGTCATTAAACCACGGACAAGCACCACATTGTTGCAAGTTTAATAACATGGAATGCCTCAATAAATCCGATCTGCCTGTTTACATGACAGTCGCATTTCCGATTTATATCTGATTTATTTCCACATATGAAGGAGGCCTGAAACTGATCTCTGAATATCCGAATCCATGGGTTTTTTTCATGTTTTTTTTTACGGTCATAGAACAGATCCGATCTGTCACATATAAGCAAAAAATCGGAATTGGGTCACATTTAACTGGCAGTGTAAACAGAGCCAAAATGTCCAAACTACCAAATAACACCTGTGATGAGTATAACTGCATTCACCATCGGGAGGTGTTACAATCCCCATCGTAAGGTAATTTAGCTTTCGCAATCCAAAATAAATAAAATAATCCAACGTCTGGGCCCAAAAGTTCCACCTCTTCCGCTACGTGGGCAAAGCCGTGGCCATTGAGTGCGTGAAGTGTCCAACATTACACACTTTTAGAGTACTATTCGTTTTATACAAAAAAATGGCGCAAAATAGTGCATAAGCATGTGATTTGGGACGCATCTATTGAAAATGTGCAGAGCTGGTGGTCCTCCAGGAACGTGGTTGAGAAATACTGGACTACGCTACTGTTTCAGCAGCAGTTCGGCCAAAATGAGCTTTTAGTATGGGTGATTTTTACACGAGAGGAAAAGCTAGCAAATCAGACGCTCCATGTTTGATGTATCATACTGACGTACATCATTACTGATGGTTCTCAACATAATAAAACTGTCAACGCTTTTTGATGCATCCTCAAATCATAACTCTATAAACATAACAAGATGCTCGAGTTTCAACACACACTGACAAACCTAGATTCCTGGTCATACCTCACACACTCTTATACCGGCTTTCTTCAGTCCATAGGTGCACAGAAATGACGATCATGGGGACAATTTCATTATAAAAACAAACAAAGAAACAAACAAAAAGAGTCTTAAGCCAAAATGACAACGTTTTCCGTCTCGTACAAAACCGCGTCATGCTAAAGTGGAGCTGTTTGTCATTTACACCATCGATGGAGATGAAGATAAGCTTTTTCAAAAAAGTCTCCAGTCTGATGTCTTCGCTCTGGGTGGAAAGATTTACGGTATTAGTAAAAGTCACGCAGTTTGTCGTCATTATTCTCCATCCTGCAGTCGTTAGTTAGTTCAAGCACAAAATAAAGGTTTTAGAGGAGATGAAGCAAGTCAGAAGCCTCACAGGGGAGGATGATGGCCGAAAGAGCCGCTCTTTTCTGTCTTTGGCAGGGAGAAAGAGCGGACTGGAGACGGCCCTTGACTGAAGTCTATACAGGATGGTTTAAGCTTGGGAATTAATGGGAAGAGTTGGCCGAGTTGGGTTGGCCGGTGGGGAGAGTTAGATACAAGGGGAGGAAGAGTTCTCCACAGTTTGTCCCATAATGCACCAGGGCTCCTCCCTTGAGAAACGGCCTCGTTAGGCGTCATACTTTTTCCCGCTTCTGTGGATCTGATGGAACAGTGTCATGGAAAAGGCCATTCCCAGGAGCTGAAATGACAAAATTCAGGAGAAAGGTTAACATGACATATACTGCATGCAGGTCAGCAAACAGATAGGTTTGAGAGAAAGAGAGAGAGAGAGAGAGAGAGAGAGAGAGAGAGAGAGAGAGAGAGAGAGAGAGAGTGAGAGAGAATTTACTGTTTATGTTTTTTACTATTTACACTACGATGCTTTTCACTTCTAACTGTGTTTTACAATTTCTTTACTACTAACTGTTTTATGATTTATTTACTGTGTTTACAATGCTTTCTACAGCTATTTACTTTGTTTACAATGTTTTTTACTACTATTTACTGTTTTAATGTTTTTTTACTACTATTTACTCTTTACAATGTTTTTTACTACTAATTTACTGTTTCCGATGTTTTTTACTACTGTGAACTGTTTACAATGTTTTTACTACTATCTACTGTTTACGATGTTTTTTTACTACTATTTATTGTTTAAAATGTTTTTTTACTACTATTTACTGTTTATGAAGTTTTTTTTACTACTATCTACTTTTTACAGTGTTTTTTACTACTATCTACTGTGTATACAATGTTTTTTTTACAACTATCTACTGTTTACAATGTTTTTTTACTACTATTTACTGTGTTTGTGTTTTTTTACTACTATTTATGGTTTACAATATTTTTACTGCTATTTACTGTGTTTACAATGTTTTTTTTACAACTACTACTGTTTGTAATTTTTTTATTACTAATTACTGTTTACATTGTTTGTTTTACAACTATTTAATGTGTTTACAATGTTTTTTTTACTACTACTACTGTTTACCATTTTTTACTATTATTAACTGTGTTTTTTACTACTATTTACTGTTTACGGTGATTTACTACTAACTGTTTACAATGTTTTTTACTATTTACAGATTACAATTTTTTTACTACTATTTACTATGTTTACGATGTTTTTTACTACAATTTACTGTTTGCAATGTTTTTTTACAACTTTTTACTGTTTGCAGTTTTTACTACTATTTACTGTTTGCGATGTTTTTTTACTACTATTTACTGTTTGCAATGTTTTTTACTACTATTTACGGTGTTTATGATGTTTTTTTTACTACTAATTGTTTACAATATTTTATTACTATTTACTGTGTTTACAATGTTTTTTTACTTCTACTGCTACTACTACTATTTACCGTTTTTTCAACTACTACTTACTGTATTGTGTTTTTTAATATTGTGTTACTATTTACTGTTTACAATGTGTTTTTACTACTATTTACTGATTATAATGTTGTTTTAGTACTACTACAACTACTTATTGTTTTTTTACTACAACTACTTACTGTTTAAGATTTATTTTGCTACTAACTGAGTTTACGATGTACCACTATTTACTGTTTATGATGTTTTTTTGCAACTGTGTTTTGCGATGTCTTTTTACTACTACTTACTCTGTTTACGATGTTTTTTTTTACAACTATTTAATGTTTACGAGGTTTTTTTACTACTAATTGTGTTTTATGATTTTTTTTACAACTACCTACTGTGTTTACGATGTTTTTTACTACTATTCACTGTTCACGATGTTTGCTTGTTTTTTACTAACTGTGTTTTACGATGTTTTTTTTACTACTACTTACTGTGTTTACAATGTGTTTTTTACATTGTACATTGGACATATTGCTATTGAAACAGACAATGGGCTAGTTAAAAAAAGCCATTCTGCTGCCAAATAGCGTCTGTGCCTACTGATAAGAATGCAAATGCAATTGTGCATTATATCATGAAATAGTCAGATAAAATAATTATTTATACAAATTTATCAATAGCTTTAGTTAAATTTTGTAGGAAATGCATTTTGTAAAAGTAGATTAGATGAGATGCGTGAGCAACTAGTCCCACACTCAGGAGTTGTTTGAGATATACATATGAAATATAACAACATATGAATAATGTATTTAGATGTGTTCTCCATAGAACAAGCTACGGTTTAATAATTGACTTTGATTTATTGAATTATTCGAAAATGTTTCACACCTGAGCTGGTGATGCTGTTATACCTTCTTATAATTAAATGGAGTTCATTATTTCTTACTTAATCTGTGAACATTGACACTGTTGTTTTTTGCAACACAAAAATGTTGTTAGCTATACAAAATATAAAGAGACCACAAGTTTCTTTGGATTTACTAGGTATAGGTTTGAGTAAATATTAATATTAATTTTGATTTTATATAGGTTTGATCAATTGACACTTATTTTAAACTTTTTTATTTAACTTTAAATAAAAGAAAACATTGTCATTTAGAGCATCAAGTCTTGAGGAATTCCTCCAAATATAGATATAATATATTATGTTTTATTCGCATGTCTAAAAAAATGAATAGAAATACCTGAAAACGTGGCACATTTTATGAAATTACATCTCTAAATGATAACATTATATTTTAAATTTAGAACAAATGTAATGTTCTTCTGTTAATTATAAAAACTTTACATACAAAAAGGCCATCAGCTATAGAGATGAATGAAATTGCTAGCTGTTAGTTTTCTCTCAGTATAACAGACCTTACCAGAAAAATTTAGCTAATTTAGTTTTCTGGTTATAAAAAAAAAACGTCTGGAAAACAGTCTAGCATCATTCATAGAGGTAAATGGAAAATGTTGTGGAAATATCCTGCATCTTTGAAGTTCATTTTTAGATTCCTCCTGATACATCAAACGCTCAGCGGTGGTCGACAATCCACAGTCATTATCTGAAAGCTGCAGAAGCGCACCGTTTTTATCACATGAGCGGGACGCGTGTGTGTGTGGATTAAATCAGATTCTCTTTAAAGGTTCTTCTT